CCTTTGCCGACCTCTTCAGCAAGGCCGTTGGATGCGCTCAGGGCCCGTTCTTATGGCTGCCCGTTCTGGCCCCGGCTGTTGTCGCTGCCCCCGTGTGAAGGTGAGGCGTGGTGGCAGAACTCCACCGCCTCGGACATGCTGCTTCCGGTGGATCACGCGGCCGAGACAGCCGCTGATCTCGTGGCCTCGCTAGGCCAGAGGGGCATCATATTCCGTTTTGTCGCAGACTCGTTCTTTGAACAAACGCGTTGTTTACCATCGTCCCGTACCAACCACCGCCGCCTCGGAGCCTTCTAGACTACTTCGGTCACGTTGTTGGCCTATCCCCATGCACATTTCATATACGTGTGTGCGTGTGCGCGCGTGCGTGCGTGTTGCTTGTCTGTCTGTGTGATTGTCCGTGCGATTGTCGGCGTGTATGCCTGCCTGTCTCCGCATGTCTTGCCAATAGGTCCATGAAAACGTAGGAGCGTCTGTCATTGCCTCCCTGTCTATTCGCGTGCTCGTTTGCTGTGCTTTGGTTTGGTAGATCTATCGGTGTCTATATTTACCGCTCGTTTCCAGGAATATTGTATTGGTCTTGGTTTTCTACCAGCAGTGCGCGCGTTCATACTCCATATCCCGGCAGAGAGAGCATGTTAGAAAGGACCAGGGCCTTTGTTACTCTTGGCTGGTGTGAGGCGTTCAAGGCGAGGGGACCCCTGGAGACGGCGAGCGGAATCGCTTGTAGAACCTGTGGCCCCGAATCATCCGCGGTTGACCTGACGCAGCAGCCGTCTGAAATAGGGCCCACCCCTCTTACCCAGACCCCCTCGCTGTGTGAACAAAAATCACGACGGGAGGTTGTTCGCTCTTTTCGGCCTGGCCTCGGGACCGTCAACAAAACGACTCGGGATGAAAAACCGTTCCAAAACCTCTGGGGGTCGACGTTGTGAAACAACATCACAACGTCGGGGGTCTGGGTATGTTGCCGCAGTGCTATCGCAAACGTTTGCCTGCTTCGTCGCTTCATCGTCTGCCCCACAAATACATCTCTCCCATCTTGGCAGCTCCTTCCCTCCCGTTCCTTTCCATGAGTGAAGCGGAAGGGAGGGACCTCCAGGAGAGAGGAGAGAGGAGGGGCGACGCAAGATGAAGATTCCATCATGCGGCTTCTCTCTTCGACGCCCCATCATCCTAGAGCTCGTCTGGCTTGCCCCACCGTCCTGCAGCGCGTTTGGCGGACTGCATTTCTGACTCGTGCCAGTTTCACCCGTCTCTGTTTTCTGCATGTCAATTTTCGCGTTTGTTTTTCTGGCATCGTGGAGCCAACGTGCTTCCATCGCTCTGGCGCCACCGCCGTGCTCCTGTGGGACCGTCCTCCGGGACGGCTGTCGGCGTCCCGCTCCTCTCTTCAACGCCACCGTTTTCCAGTTCACGAGCCGCGAACGCATCCGTATCCTCGCCCTCGGGGTCTGGCTTCCGGGGCGCGATCCCGCGGATGCGCGATCTCGTGGATGCGTTCCGCGCGGGGCATCCGCGGAGAACTGCCCCGTCTCCGCGGGGTCGCGGCGCATGGGGCCTGGCCCGCGAGGCCGCGGCTACGGATTTTGTTTTTCCCCGCGACGGAGGGGGAGGCAGGACGGGGCGGGAGGAGGTGGGGGGGGGGAGTGGATGCGGTCAAGCTAGGTGCGCGCTCGCGCGCGCCCTTCTGACATCTTGCCCCTCCCACCTATCCCTCCACACTGCCCTGATTTGTTCTCTATCTGCTTTCGGGTGTCCCAGCGGACCCGACTCCTTCAAATGACCCCATCGTGTGACATGTAGTTCTGAGGAGGGAGAAACAGCACACACAGACAATCAATCGTCGACCCCCAGGAAAACATGGGAACATATGGGAAGTGGGAGGGAGGACGATCACTTAGAACGTATGGAAAGTTTGGGGAATCCTGGGATTGGTGTGTATTTGTTTGTGTGTCCCTGGACCCTTCGAATTCGCCCACGGCCCTTCTGCAGCGCCTGTCCTGCTCTCCTCGGCCGCTCTTGTGCCGTCTGCAGGCAAGCGCGGGACCCTGGAGCCCTTCATGGAGAACGAGCGGTTGATGGCCGCCCTGTCTGAGAGGCAGCCTCGCAGCCTTGCCTGCGAGGAGGAGGAGAAGGAAGAGGAGGAGGAGGAGGAGGAGGAGGAGGAGGAGGAGGAGGAGGAGGAGGAAGAGCAAGAGGAGGAGGATGAGGAGGAGGAGGAGGAGGAGGAGGAGGAAGAGAAAGAGGAAGAAGCCTCGCAGCCCTGCCCTGCGATTTCGAGCCCGTTTTTCACTAGTCGCGATGTCGCCCATATCTGGCCCCCTCCCCCCCCTACCCCTCACCCCCCCCACTGCTGGTCACGGCGCGATTCGCGCCAGTGCCGTCCTGCGAGTCAGCCACGCCTGCTCATTCCTGCACGGCGCCCGCGCGATTCGTGACGTGACAGGCCCCCCTCCCTCCCCTCTCTCTCCCCTTCCCGGACACGCCCGTCATTGCCAGGAGAGTGCCACATTGTTCCCAACCATCCTGTGGTGTTGGGTCCTCGTTTTGAAGAGACGTCGCCCCGCGTTCCTCCTCCGCCTCCTCCTCCTCCTCCTCTCCTCTCCTCCTCCCCCCTCCCCCCTCATCCCGTGCGTTTCCAGCCCACCCAGTACAGCGCTTCGTGCCCCATAGGAGCTTCCACCGAAGGGCCCATGCTACGGGGGGCAGGGGGGGGGGGGTGGGGGGGGGGGGGGGGGGGGGGGGGGGGGGTAGCGCCGCGGGGGCCCATTTCGGCACACCCCTCACGAAAGGATCGTAGCGCCATAGGTGGTGAGCTTCCACCGAAGGCGCCAGTGGCAGGGTTCGCATGGCGGCCTCGGGCCATTTCGGCACACCCCTCACGAAGATCGTGGCCCCATACGGAGCTCCACCGAAGGCGCCAGTGGCAGGGTTCGCATGGCGGCTCGGGCCATTTCGGCACACCCCTCACGAGGATCGTGGCCCCATAGGGAGCTCCACCGAAGGCCCCCAGTGACAGGGTTCGCATGGCGGCCTCGGGCCATTTCGGCACATCCCTCACAAGGATCGTGGCCCCATAGGAGCTCCAGCGAAGGCCCCCAGTGGCAGCGTTCGCATGGCGGCCTCTGGCCATTTCGGCACACCCCTCACGAGGATCGTGGCCCCATAGGGAGCTCCACCGAAGGCCCCCAGTGGCAGCGTTCGCATGGCGGCCTCGGGCCATTTCGGCACACCCCTCACGAGGGTCGTAGCGGCAGGGTTCGCACGGCGGCCTCGGGCCATTTCGGCACACCCCTCACGAGGATCGTGGCCATAGGGAGCTTCACCGCAGGACCCAGTTGCAGCGTTCGCATGGCGGCCTCGGGCCATTTCGGCACACCCCTCACGAGGATCGTGGCCCCATAGGAGCTCCAGCGAAGGCGCCAGTGGCAAGGTTTCATGGCGGCCCCGGGCCATTGCGGCACACCCCTCACGAGGATCGTGGCCCCATAGATGTGTTGCTTCAACAGCCGCGCCTGGGCGTCGTACTCCGCCGTGTCGACGTGCAACGCCACCTCCTCCCTCATGGCTCTCAAAGCTCTCTTCTGCTTTTGCTCCTCGGTCAGAGGGACGCCGTCCGTGTCGTCGTCGGTGCCCGCGAAGACGGCCACGAACGTGTTCCTGAGCATGTCGGGTTCCGGCGGGAAGCTGTGGCCACATAGGGAGCGCGGGCAAAGATGGTATTCACAATTGCGGTAGACACAACTGCATATGGTTGGGTCCTTCGCCAGGTTATTTTTTGGTTTGCGAAGTGGAAGGGGCCAGAAACGAGGCGAGAACGAGTGATGGGGGGAGGAGGAACTCCCCAGATCTCCGAATATCGGATTCTGTTTGAAGCTGGGGTTTGTTCTCTTTGGATCCCCCTCGCCAAAGAACACAGGAACAGGAACACACCCACATCATCGTCACCCTCATTATTATCATCATCGTCACACCATCATCATCATCATACTCATCATCGCCGTTCTCATCACTACCACCACCACCACCACCATCATCACTGTTACCATCATCATCGTCATCACCAAACCACCAACATCATCATCACCATCATCATAATCAGCATCATTCGCATCAGCATACTCATCGTCACTATCATCATCATCATCATCATCGTCATCACCAGTATCATCGGCACCACCACCACAATCATCATCAGCAACATCAGCAGCTTCCTTATCATCTTCATCATTCGCATCATCCCTATAGTCATCATCGTCATCATCCTCATCCCCACTCCTCATCATTCACATCTTCATCATCATCACCATCACCAGCATCAGCATCAGCAACACCACCACCGTTATCATCATCATCACCATTATCCTCATCATCACGGTAATCGGCAGAGACATCTTCATCACCAATATCATGATCAACACCGTCATCATCATCATCACCATCACAATCATCATTCACATCACCATCAGCATCACCATCAGCATCATCATCATCGGCAGCACAGCCACCACCATCACCATCATCATCCGCAGGAACAGTATCATCACCCTTCGCATCAGCAGCATCATCATCACCATCATCATCAGCATCATCATCAGCATCATCACCATCACGACGGGTATCAGAATCACCACCATCAACATCACCACTAACAGCAGCAGCTGCATCCTCAGCCTCGCCATCATCATCATCAGAATTAGCAGCAGCATCAGCATCATCACCATCATCATCACCCTCATCATCATCAGCACCATCGCCATTATCATAACCACCATCAGTCAGCAACATCAGCAGTACCATCATCACCTTTATCGTCATCAACATCATCATGGTCAGCATTGCCAACATCATCACCTTCGCCATCACCACCATCAGTATCACCAGCGTCATCATCATCACCACCACCATCAACAACAACATCGTTCTGACCATCATCATTCTCATACTGATGGTAATGCTGGTGATGATGCTCATGATGATGATCATCATCTCCACCGTCATCGTACCCACCATCGTCATCAACAACATCACCAGCACCATCACCATCGTCACCGTAGTCGTCGTCGTCATGGTCATCATTATCCATTGTCGTCACTTTTGGGCTCTTCGGGTTCAATCTGGAGGAAATCAAGCGGGAGCCTCGTCAGTGAGTGAATAGCGAATAGCGAGGGAGTCTCGAATGAGAGACCCCCCCCCTATGGGGCGCCCAGCTTCATGTTGGAATCCGGGCGGGTCAACCCAAACCCTGTAACCGTAGTCACTTTCGGGGGCCTCGGGCTTGAGTATGGAGGAAGTCTCCAGCGGGGGCCTCGTCGGCGAGTGGATAGCGAGGAGGTATCGAACGGGAGCCTCTCCCTAGGGGGCCCCCTCCGCAATGTTTGAATCCGAGCGGGGTCATCCAAATCCTATCACTGTCGTCACTCTGGGGCCCCTCAGGCCTTATTCTGGGGGAAGTCTCCAGCGTAAGCCTCGTCTGTGAATGATTGGCGATGAAGTCTTGAACGGGAACCCCTCACGCTGTAATTCAAATTTCAATGATGGAATTCTAGACGCTTCGCGTAACCCCGCCAGCAGTTGCGTTCGGTCCCGCTTTAGGTCGTTGTAATTCAGGTCTTTGCTACTCGGCATCTTCCTGAAGGCGCGCGGCTCTTCCGCTTGCGCTCGCGATCAGGTAAGTGGGCAGCACACAGAGGAATGGTCCCCCAGTGGAGGCCTCTTGGAGCGTCTTGGGGGCCTGTTGGCGGTCCCGGGCGCCTCTTAGAGCGTCTTGGGTGCCCTGGAGAGCTTCTTCGGGCCTCTTGGGGGTCTCTTGGGGGCCTCGTGGAGGGCTCTGGGGCGCTTGTTGGGGTCTCATGGGGCCTCCTGGGCGCCTCTTGGGGCCCTCTTGAAGCGCTCTTGGGAGCCTTGGGCGCGCTCTTGGAGCCCTCTTTGGCCATCTTGGAGTCATCTTGAAGCCTCGGATGGCCATCGGAAGCGAAAAGGCGAGAAAGCCCAAAACATGAATATTCCTTAGGTTTTAGTGGGATTTTGGCCTCTTCGGGGCCTCCTGGGGGAGCTTTGTGGCCACTTGGAGCCGTCTTGAAGCGGTCTTGGGGCCTCTTGGAGCATCGTGGGAACGATCTTGAGGCATCTTGGGGTATCTTGAGCCATCTTGGAGGTCATCTTGGGCTCTCCCAGGCGCTCGTGGAGTCATCTGAAGCAGTACCCCCCCCAGGAGGCCCAAATGTGGCCAAAACCTTAGTACAAACAGTGACTTTGGTATTCTCGCCGAGGCCCCTTGGAGCGTCTTGGGTGCCCCTGGGGGGTCTCTTGGCGCCTCGTGGGGGCCTCTTGGGAGCCTCTTGGGGGCATCCTGGTGGCCTCTTGGGGGCATCCTGGGGGCCTCTTGGGGGCTTCTTGGGGCCACATGGGGCCATCTTGGGGCCATCTCGGGGCCTCTTGGGGCCTCCTGGGCGCCTCTGGGGGCCATCTTGGAGGAGATCGATCACAGGAAGGGGGGGGGCTCAATTAGCCCTTCCCCCCCCCAGGGGGCCAACGTGGGGCCAAAATCATAGTAAAACAAATGATTTTGGCATCCTCGCCGAGGCCGTTGTGGACGCTCCAACGCGTCGCGGTCCAGGTCCGGGGGAGGGGGTAGGGGGAGGGGTCAAGACGCCCTCCCCGCCCGCAAGCCGTTTCGCTCACTCCCACCCGCCCTCCCAACACGTTCGCAGCACCCGAGTTTGGCCCGAGCCGCAGCATATTCAGCAGTCGTCTTTGGATGGGCAGCTACTGGGGGCGCATCCGCCGCCGCCGCCGCCGCCCCGCCGCCGCCGCCGCGCCGCTGCCGCCGCCGCCGCTGTCCGCCGCCGCCGCTGCCACCAACCCGACCCGCCCGCCCCGCCCGCCGCCGCCGCAGCCCGCCGCCGCCGCCGCCCCCCCGCCGCTGCCAAATCGCCGCCGGCCGCAGCCGCTGCCGCCGCAGTCGCTTGCCGTGGTGCCACCGCTGCCCGGCGCCCGCCGCCGGCAACTGTGCGCCGCAGCCGGCCGCCGGCGCCGGGCTCCCTGCAACGCCGCCGCTCCCCCACCGCGCAACCGGCCCGCACCGCCGCAGCCGCC